GAGAGAGGGAGCTGGGCAGGAGCTCGGGGAGCGGGGGCCGCGCCCTCCCGCCACCCGCCAGGAGGCGTGAGGCCGCTTCCTCCCCACTCCAGCGAAGCCTCTGACGGTCCACACCGCTCCCCTCCCCACGCCCCCCGCCTCCTGACTCTTTGCACCCTCCCGTTCCCTTGGCAACAGCCCGTGACCTCACCCGGCTAGGAAGCGGAGCCCAGAGTGAGGTCACCGCTGTTGCCATGGGGAGGAAGGGTCGCCTAGGAGTTCGCGCCCCGTAAGGGATCGGCTGGGGGTTAGTATTTGAAGGGGGCAGTGAGGAAAATGGGGAAAACAGTCTCAGTGGGGCGAGGGGTTGCGGAAGGGAAGGGCCGCAGTGCAGACCGGGGGATCTGAGCGCGGCTGCAAGAGAGATGCTGAAAGGGAGGGGCAAGTGCGGCCTCCGCCCTGGCAGGGGCAGACCCCACCCTCCCGTCCACAGGCCTTGGCCCCTCCAACCTGAGATTTCCCCTCGGCCAGTCTAACCTTGAGAGTTCCAAGTCCTATTCCAGTTCCAGCTCGACCACTAACTCCCTGGCACCTGGGGCGGATTTCCTGCCCCTCCAGTTCCCTCACCAGTTAAACTGCCTCCCAGACTCCCAGAGAGGTGTGGAAGCCCTTTGGAGCTTTCTAAGGCTCCACAGGGTGTACCCCAGGGCCTTAGGGCGCTAGCTGGTTGCAGGACCACCCTCTGCAAGGCTCTGCCTGTGCATGTTGGGGGAGTGGGCATTGCGGGAAGAGAATAGGTGTATGACCTTAGAGAAACTATGTCAGGGCCCTGGGACCATTCCCCAAGCCCAGAAGGAGTGACCTCTGCCTCCATCCCTTCCTCGCCTGGCCAGAGGGTGGAGGGTTGGGGTGCAGGTACTTGAGGGTCATCCTCCCCCACCCACTTGGTTTCTTCCTCCCTGGCAGGCTTATGGAATCTCTTGGGGCAATAGGAGGTCAACACAGAGACAGGAACCCCATCCCAACTCTCCTTTGCTAACTGCTCTCCTAGCACCATGTCTGCTTTGGCCAGCCACCCTCCTGGGGGCAGAGAGAAGCTCTGGACTCTGCACCCAGGCCCATGCTTTGCCTTCCATCTCCTGACTAGTGGTCCCTTCTTTCTATTCTGAAAAGATACAGATCTCCATCTGACCCCGGTGCCCCAGGTGCTGCGGACCTCCTGGCGGGATTCAGAACATTAGGGACAGAGAGAGCCATCTGTCCTATGACAAAGCCACGGGGTCAAAAGCAGTAGCAATGCTGGGTGAACCCTCCAAAGGGGCCTTTAGGACTGTGGGCCAGAGAGGGTCTGCGAGGCCATGTGGTGTGGTTTGGTGCAAGGGCAGCAGAGGGAGTGCTTGGCTCCTTCCTCCTGCCCCAGAGCACTGCAGAGCACTCAGACTCCACCCTGCTCTGCCTCAGGCCCTCTGCCAGGGCCACTCCCGACAGGATTTAGGGTCTTTCTGAGCTTTCCCTTATCTAAGGCCCTCACTGTCCTAGACCTCAAGACCTCCTGCCCTCTGCCTTCTTGTGGGCAGTTGAAGGAACTACCTCCTGCCTTAACTCCTGGCCGAAAAGAAAACAAAAATTCGGATGGAGGCTCAAGATGTGCCAAGCATTGTACTGGATGTTTCCTGTATGCTCTTTCATTAACAAGGGTGCCATACAGACCCTGAAAGCCCCTGAGTAGATTTGGGGGTGCCCTCAACCCTGTCCCTACCCATCCTGCCACTCCACTTGGGCTCCTGGGAGCCCACCCTTACCCGTAAGGACAGGGTGTCTTTGCACTGCAGACTGATGCCACACTCATCGGTGATCTCTGAGAGGTCTTCATCCTCAAACTCCTCCAGGCTGATATCATGGGTGAGCCTGGTGGGGACAGGAAGCCAAAGTTACAACCCAGGGGGACTGCTCAGCCCACTGATGTCTCCCTAGTACGTCCTCCAAGGGGCAGCCCCTCGAAGGCAGATCACAGCCCCCAGAGGATGGGACTTGGAGTCCACTGGTGCCAATGCAAGGGGAAGAGCTGTGGGCTCATGCCAAAGGCAGTCTTCCTGGGGTGGCAGTGGAAGGGGAGGCTCCAGGTCACCCCTGCTCCCCCCGGCTGGGAGCTGTCCATCCTGTTGCCAAACTAGAGGCAGTGCCTGGAAGGCCCAGCTGCTCGGAGCCTCAGCTCTGCCAGAGAAATGCCTCCCAGGGTCAAGGCAGGTGCCAAGGCCAGTTCACCCATGGAGAATGCGAAGAGTGGAGAAGAGACTCCGAGGGATGCCCGGAGTCAGGGCTCCCTGTCCAATCCCTGCAGCAACAAAACCCCAGGCGCTGGCAGAGCCGCTCCCTGGCCCCAGAGGAGTGCGCCATTCCCCCAGCCCAGGAAGACGCACGCTGCTTGAGCCACAGAGCAAGGAAGGGAAATGTGGTGTCAGCGTGGGTCGTTTCCACCCGTTCCAGGACCGACTAGGCCACTAGTCTATGTTCTTGGTCTCATCTCTTCAACCACAAAATCACTTTGCCCAGATATGGACCCTGAACAGGCTGCACAGATGGGGTCAAGGAATTGGGGCTGGAGGGATGGTGAGCTCAGGAGGCAGCACACCCCAGCACCAGGAACTAACCAGCTGCACTAGAACACTCTGCCCCAGGCCAGCCCTGTGCCCCCGCCCACTGCGGTCCCCACCTGCCCCAGCCCTAGGCTCCACCTGGTTTGGTGGGAGTGGGACATTTTGGAGAATTCTGTGGGGAAAGTTGGGAACAATTCTGAGCCTTTTCCCAAATGAGACCAAGAGACTGAGGCTTAGAGCGAGAGACCCACAGTCCAAGGTCACCCAGGAGAGGGGGTGGCCCAGCCCCCAGGGGAGCCTAGGAGGCCCAAGCCCTCTGCCTCTCACCTCAGTCAGCCCCAAACAGAGACTCAGAGCTCAATGGAGCTGCCCCCCCAAACTGCCCCCTCCCCCC